ATACAAAACCCCAAAACCCCAAAACCCCAAAACCCCGCAACTCAATAAATTACCTTGAAAAAATTGTGGAATTAATTAATTTAGACCTTATATTAATTTCTTCAATGGAGTAATAGTAATCAGATCAATCACAGCATTAGCAACCACAAAGCACTTAATCAAATAATACTGAATAAAATGCTACCCCCAAAATTTAAATAGACTTGGATAGATATAGGAGAAAGTAGCAAATCATTGATGATGCAGAAACTCAAAGAAAAATAGATCTAAAAAATGTCTAGAAAAAGCCTCATCCAGGTTTCAAGCCTCCCTCTCTTTCAGCCCAATAGCAATTTGAAGAGTCTCAAAGAAAATAATAGTTATAAAGAGAATAATTAACTGAGGAGTAAAAAGAACATTATAGACAGTAGGATAAGTATTTCGCAGATAGAGTTAATGCAATGAGTGCACCAAACTTCTCTTACCTTGACATTTTCGAGTAGCAAGCAGTGGAGCGAAAGAGAGCTTAAGATGAGTTTTACAAGTACAAAGATGAGGAAGAGTCTAAATACGAGTAAAACAAGCCTGCTATGTTTAGGAAAAATGTCAAGGTCCTTGATGAAGCGGATCAAGAGGATTAAACAAAGCAACTAGACTGGAAAGCATAGGAGTTTGAAGCACATAAGAAACTTCAGAAGGATTTAGACATGGACTTTGACCCAGACACCAAGTCGCAAGATGAACTGAGAGAGTTTTTCAAAGTATCTAAGGACAAAGATGCTGTCAAGTACATGAATGAACAGATATTTGAGTACTTGTATGAAAGACTGAGAGATAGACAAATCAAATTCTATGCATTCCTGAATAAAGAATTTAATGTGATGAACTTTAAGAGTGCCAGATGCAGCATGCATTGCTTTGATAGCATAGACAGGAGTGTCAGCTAAGTCAACGACTGCCTCAAACTGTGCAGAGAGGGCATTAGTGGATGCAAAACCTACGCTTATAAATTATAGAAGAAGGCTGAGGATGATGTATAGACTTGCTAAAACGAGGCAAAAGATGTGAAGAAGTTGACCGATCCCATCATTCATTGGATTTCTTGCTATGAAAAATTGATATTAAGATTTGACAGTATGGAACAAGAAATCACATCTGAATTCAGCAACTTTATATGATAGGAAATTGATTCGATTCTTAGGCTACTGCCCTTCTTTATTGTAATTAAGTTAATAAATTTAACATGAACATTAATATGGTAATATTGTTAACTTTAAATAATACGATTGAAATAATCGCAGGAGGATTGTAAAACAAATACATTTCATAATCCATCCATGATTTATTCAAATATCTCTAGCCTCGTAAACGTCCAAGCCTCTTGCCTTGAGATCAGCAAGTTAGCTTTGGAAGATATTTCTCTCATTGTAATATGAGTCCATTGCTGATTGGTATTTAGAGAAGCAAGTCTGCATGCAGTTTTATTCCTCTCTAAGTAATTCAGATCCGGTTTTGAAGTTAATACATAGATTGGCACAGAACTTGTGCTGTTTCATGATACTATTGTTTGATAGATATCTCTCTGACTCTTGTTATACTTCCCAAGGCAACTAGGGAAGAGTTCCTACCTCAAAAACAGTTGATTTGCTTGGATCAACTCTGAATTCTTAACCTGGTTGTCTCATATTTAATCCTTTATATTATTTTATTATAAATTCAATCAAATTTGCAATTATCATTTATTCAAGGGGTTTTGGGGTTTTGGGGTTTTGGGG